CCCATTTAATTTCTTCCACCTTAAGATATTTCCTCTTTTGTTATTTTAAAGACTAGACCGTGTGGTTTTTAGTTCATTACAAAGAAATTTCCACCATATTCAAACCAACAAAATTTGGTAATCTTGTAAATAGAAAGAAATCTTAAAATACATTGGATATAGATCTAAAAATTGGTAAATTTTAAAAAATAAAGGTATATTTCTATTAAAAAAAAATATTCCCCTATATTCATAAAAATAATTTTTCCAACTCTTTAAAGTTAGAGAAAGTAAATCTTTTGTAAAGTTAGAGAAAGTTACCGAGAACAACCACTGAAGAAATGAGAAACTTTTACCTTCCCGAGGGAATTTTAAAAGGCTATCTAAAATGGGCCCTATGTTATTCATCAACAGGTGGCCTAAATCACCAGACAAGGCCCTAACCGGAACGTGACCCGGAGATAGACCCAGGATCCGATTACCAATCCGACGTTCTTCTAGACTATTCTAATGACAAAAACAAAAACACGAATACAATCCAACGGTTGAGATTAGCTCGAAGTTTCAAGAGCTAAAGGGATCGATCGTTTCGCCTTTATATTGAAGAAACAAAAACAGTGCCATTTCTTCACTGGCGAAGAAACCTACTTCCTTCCTCTTCCTTCCTTATCCTCAATAAACTCTCCGGCGAACAAAAATTTGACATCTCCGGCCACTTCTCCGTCGTTCCACCGTTCGGTGAGTGTCCTTTTCATTTGCGTCCATGTAGTTGTGTGCGAATGTTTGGTTAACTGAGAAGTATTTTACCTCGTTCTCTTGTTCTGGAGATAATGGGTTAGTAGTTGAAACTGCGTTGATGGCGATTTTGTTAATGGTGGTGTTGTTAGTGAGCTCTGATTTCGAAATTGCGTTGCATTGTCACATCTGTGTTTATGATTTTTTTTGTTTTTTCCAAATTTGATTTTGCTAATACTTTTAAATGTTTCGTTTTTTATAGCTAGAGTCTTGTCGAGTGTGTTCTTACAAATGATAGTCTAACTTGTTGGGTTTTGTTTCAGTGTGAGAAGTGAAAATGGCGTCGACATTCACTGCCACATCTTCCCTTGGTACTTTGGTAGCTCCTCCCAATGCTCACAAGTTGTCTTCTTCGACTTCTATTGCTATAAGCTCGTTTGGAAGGAGACAGAATGTGTGCCCAAGAAGATCCCGTCCCGCGATTGTATGTGCAGCCAAGGAGTTGCATTTCAACAAGGATGGGACTACCATAAAGAAACTTCAAGTGAGAATTGTGTATTAATGAATTTCTTTCTCTGCAGTAACGATTAGGATTTGTTTCTATTCTGGTTTCTGATTACTCTGTTGTGGTTAGACCGGTGTTAACAAGCTCGCTGACCTCGTTGGTGTCACACTTGGACCGAAAGGGAGAAATGTTGTTCTTGAAAGCAAGTATGGATCACCAAGAATTGTTAATGATGGTGTGACTGTTGCTAGGGAGGTATGAATTTATTGTCCGGTTGGAAATTATGTTCATTTCGTATAAAATGACTTCCATAAGCTCAAGGTTTTCTTCTGGTTAGGTCGAGTTGGAGGACCCGGTTGAGAACATTGGTGCAAAGCTTGTAAGGCAAGCAGCTGCAAAGACCAATGACTTGGCTGGTGACGGTACAACAACTTCTGTTGTTCTTGCACAAGGTTTTATTGCCGAAGGTGTCAAGGTCGGTACATTCTTCTTTCAGTTTTATCTGATGTAAACTCAAAAGAACAGTGTAATAATCTTAAGTTTGTCTTTTTCAGGTGGTGGCTGCTGGTGCTAACCCTGTACTGATCACTAGAGGCATTGAGAAGACAGCAAAGGCTTTGGTTCACGAGCTGAAGCTAATGTCTAAGGAGGTAGCTTTTCTTTTGCCGCTAAAACTCCCATTTTAATCTGTTGAAAGTCTATAGCAGGACGATCTAAATGTATATATGTTATTGGAAATATAGGTTGAAGACAGTGAACTTGCAGATGTGGCGGCTGTTAGTGCGGGTAACAACCTTGAAGTTGGAAATATGATTGCTGAGGCAATGAGCAAAGTGGGCAGGAAGGGTGTGGTGACCCTTGAGGAGGGTAAAAGCGCTGAGAATAACCTTTACGTGGTGGAAGGAATGCAATTTGACCGTGGTTATATCTCCCCATACTTTGTGACAGACAGTGAGAAAATGTCTGTTGAGTACGATAATTGCAAGGTAAATGTTTTTGATTCTGAGCTACCGGAAATGATATGGTGATGACATATAGCCTAACAAAGCTTTCTACCGTGCAGTTGCTTCTTGTTGACAAGAAGGTTACCAATGCAAGGGATCTTGTTGGTGTTCTAGAGGATGCGATTAGAGGCGGATACCCAATCCTAATAATCGCAGAAGATATTGAACAAGAAGCTTTAGCAACTCTTGTTGTTAACAAGCTTAGAGGCACATTGAAGATCGCAGCTCTCAAAGCTCCTGGATTTGGAGAGCGCAAGAGCCAATACCTCGACGATATTGCCATTCTAACTGGAGGTAACTGATGTTTTTATTTTATAACAAAACCAATCTGTGAGTAAAAATCAGTAAGTAAGCCCTCCTGTTTCGGAATCATTTCACTGTATAAATCTTGTTGTCTTTCTTCTGTCAATGCGTGCAGCAACTGTGATAAGAGAGGAAGTTGGTCTTTCTCTGGACAAAGCTGGGAAAGAGGTTTTGGGTAACGCCTCTAAGGTTGTCCTCACCAAGGAGATGACGACCATTGTGGGTGATGGGACCACACAGGAAGCAGTGAACAAGCGTGTTGTACAGATTAAGAATCTAATTGAGGTATATGTGTGAGTCAAACCGTAGAAGAAGTTTGTCTACCTTTTGTATATAGATTCATTTTGCTAACAAAACAATGGTTGTGCAGCAAGCGGAACAAGACTACGAGAAGGAAAAATTGAATGAGAGGATTGCGAAGCTTTCTGGTGGAGTTGCTGTTATTCAGGTAAATTGTAACCACATGGGCTCTTTTTAGTTTATACAACAGACGAATGTGTTTAGTGATTCTAACAAGAGCTCTTACATCTTGCTTAAAGGTGGGAGCACAAACTGAGACAGAGCTCAAAGAAAAGAAGCTAAGAGTTGAAGATGCTCTTAACGCTACAAAGGTGATTTTCTTAATCCACAGCTGGTTGGGTTATAGAGGAGTTTGTAATTCTGACTACTCATGGGTTATCGTAATTATATGATCTCATTGAGTTTCAGGCTGCTGTTGCGGAAGGTATTGTTGTTGGTGGTGGTTGCACACTGCTTCGTCTTGCTGCCAAGGTTGATGCCATCAAGGATACCCTTGAAAACGACGAAGAAAAGGTAACCAGTATAACCAAGACCTTCCGAGTTTTGTGCAATTTGCTTTCTCTGAGTGCATTTTCAACTATTCCCTGGCTGTAGGTTGGAGCAGAGATCGTTAAAAGAGCACTGAGTTACCCTCTGAAATTGATAGCAAAGAATGCCGGTGTCAATGGAAGCGTTGTCAGCGAGAAGGTAACAACATAACAGAATACCTCTTCTCATACAGCTCTTGATTTAAGTAATTCGCTTGAAAAGCCAGTCTTTATTCTTTGCAGGTGCTAGCTAATGATAATGTGAGATTCGGATACAATGCTGCAACCGGAAAGTACGAAGATCTGATGGCTGCAGGCATCATCGACCCAACAAAGGTTAGTTTTTCGCTGACACAACTCTCTTTGTTTGCTGAACAATCTGATGATAAAGATCTCAGTGAACATGAGTGGATTTCTGCAATTTCAGGTTGTGAGATGTTGCTTGGAACATGCGGCCTCGGTTGCAAAGACATTCTTGATGTCTGACTGTGTGGTTGTGGAGATCAAGGAGCCAGAGCCAGTTCCTGCTGGCAACCCAATGGACAACTCAGGTTAGTCCATAATACTCTGATTTTTTCAAAGCTTGGACAATAACATCAAAACTCATGTAACTTCATCACTGAGTCTCTTTGACTTTGTCTTGTTTCAGGATATGGATACTGAGATAGACTGACCGGGTTTGCTCTTCAAGAGGAGAGATCGATGAAACATTCGGAAACGAGAGTAGCTCACTGGGATACGGATTCCTTTAGCTTGTAGTGATTTTTGAACCAGAGAAGAATGTGTTCATTAGATATCAATCAAATTTGGAATAATCTTGAATAAATTCAGTGTTCTGATTAGATCTCTCTTAATAGCCATCTTACAGAAGAATTTTGTTGTTTATGTCGCAAACTAGTTTGCTGATTGACAAATCCGCATTCTTCATGAGTTGAACTGGAAGGAGAATATCTAAAGGCATGGCCATGGAAAAATTGAAATGTTAAACAAGAAACTACCGTTTCATACATTAACTAACCTGAAACATAACCATTCAATTTTGGAGATCAAGAGAGCTTACAAAGCTTAAATAATTTAAGGTTCTTGTTTCCTAGACGAAAGAGTAATCTCTCGAAGTGGAAAGTTTTGCTATTTATGATAGTAAAGACCATAAAAGTAGAGCAATTCTGATTACACATATGTTCTGAGATAAGTTCCAATAGATGGTCAAGACAACAACTAGTGAAGCTTAGGGATCAAAGGAACTGCAGAACTCAGAAATATAATATACACATTTCAAAATTTAAAGCTTATTG